ACCATTTCATCATCCGACGTCCGATCGGAGAGATTCTAAAGCCCACATGTCACTTTTAAATGGTGCTATTAACATACCAAATTTTGGAAAGATCCAACGGACGGATTGAATTTCGTGCATGTTGAAACATTATTAATTATTGCTGTCATGACAGCTCCTCTGGACCAACTTCTAGAGCGTGCCATTTCTCCGTCCGATATCCGATTGATGTGATTCCAAAGCCCACATGAAGCTTATGAAAGTTTTTATTTGTGATCTAAATTTTAGAGAAATCTAACGGTCGGATTAAGATTTGGACACCCAGATGTAAAAGTGTAAGTTTTTGGTAAAAACCATTTTCAAAATTGTCCAAATCTCATCCTAATGGTCACAAACTTTTGGGAACACTTTGGACACATCAAATAGGGCTAAAAACACCTGATAGAACATTTAAATGGTAGAAAAACCTTTTATACTAAAATTTGGCCACTCAAGTACCATTTCCCAAAATGGACCCTAAACCCTCAAAATGCACAAATCGCACAAGAGTGGCCAAAAAGTATTCCAAATATCATATACACATATGAATACACACGCTAAACATTTTCACTTGGGTCAGAGATCTCTGTGAGGCCCACGCACCCACTCTCTCTATCCAAAGTATATGTTTGCCCATAACACACCATTTGCAATGCAACTACTTTGCATTTGCTCGTGGAATGACATATATATCAAAATAAATATTTGCTTGTAGTGGAAACTTGGTCTACTAAATAAATCCATCAAAATTACATACCATAGCCAAGTTTCCTAGCCACAAGTTTACAAGCAAACAAAAATTCATACACAAGCCATACAATCCACACATACTCATACACATATACATAATCATATCCTACTGGCACTCTAATCCTAAATACATTACAATAGATTTGCTCAAAAGAAAGGGGTTGTAGTTCTTTACAATTCACAAATAACCCCTAGCTCTGCTCCTTTCCCCGTCCTCCACTGGTTCCTTCGCTTGGACCTAAAATATTAAAAAGAAAGGGGTGAGACAACCACAATCTCAATAGGAGAAATCTACATTGATTATTATAAAGTAAGCTATAATCGAATAAACGAATAATAAATTCAACATAGTATAAAATTTAGCCATTTAAAATGCATGAATGCATGACGTAGGCCGGTATGGCCTTTCATGACCAACAGAATGCCCCCTGGCACTCTTTAACTCGCAGGTAAACCTTAGACCTACTTATACCTCCACAGGCACAAAACATAATCTAAGGCATGATCTAATCCATCGAACCGCCTATGCCCCTTCGACGTGAATCCTGAGCAGTCAAAGCTAACTCCCTGCCAGAACTAGCCCGACTTACTCTCCATGTGAGGGCTGCCTTGGCCTAGGCACTCAACCTCACACTTTATATGTCAGATTCCCTCTCCCACTGAGAGGTGTCGAACACTCAATACACTAACCACTTTAGTGCACTAAGCCCACAATACATAAGGCAACACTGAGTACTGGCAGTGTGCCATAGAATATCAAAAGTCCACTCCTTCTCATTGGTGAACTTCCACTAAGATCATGCCTTTTATAAATTTCCCTTAAATGGTTCCTTAGCCTATCTAAGGTACCTTACTTAGTTACCCTTCCTTAAGTGCAACTTCTATTCTTTATGATTACAATACATGCAAACAAATCTCGTTTCCATAAAAACATTGTCGTTAAACAATTAGAAAACATATTTGCACGATAATCAAAGTAGTACCCCATAACCCCTTATAAAGCACAATTAATCTTTTAAAACACGTAATGTATGATAGCTAGTAATATTTATTCAAAAATAGCTAAAATAAAGTAATAAGAAATATAAATTCCCTTGTTACCTCAACCCTTTGGTACTAAAAGGGTTCTTTTTGTACAAAATAGGACTCAACTTGTTCCTTAACTTTTAAACAAATTCTACCAACAATTCCTACAACATATAAGTGATCCACATCACTTATCATGTCAAATAGCATTAATGAAGACTATAACTCATACTACACAACTTGGGTCAATGAGTCATAATCCATCCTAATGGTCTATATATTAAACCAACCATTCACATAGTATCACTTAACCACCAAAACCATTTATTAGCCATCACTAGGCTAATTTCCAATTTATATAATTTTTAATTAATTAAAAACCTTCACTTAGTGTCACCAACTTTCACTATTAGCCCTTATAATGAAAACCAAACCTTAATTTAAATCTTATAGGGTTCAAATAGCAAAATTATAACTAAATCAATAAGTTTAAACCATTGAGGAGAAAAACCCAATCTCTCAGGGTTTAATTTGCGCCCAAAACACCTTTTTTCATCTAATTATCCACTCAAAACATTAGATCACTATATAGAAACTCAAAACATCCTCCCTAGGATTCAAAGAAACAAAAGCTTACAAGAATGAAGCCTTTGGGATCAAAACCTACAAATTTCCTCTTCCAAAAATTGAAGAAATTATGAGGAAGGGAAAAGGATTAAAGTAGGGAGTTTATCTATCATATAGCCGAGCTCGCAACGGTTGCAAAGCTTCCTAGATCCAAGCCTAACTCCCTCTCTTTCTCTTCTTTTCTTCCTCTCTCCCTCTTGTGCGTTTCCTTTCTTTCCTTGTTCTGCATTTTCTGCGTCCATATGGCTCTTTAAAATGCTGATCTAATGCCTTCGGGAAAATTACAAGAAAGGGCCCAACATTTTTTATTATAGCACAAAAGCCCGAGTCAACTTTGGTAATTTTTCCCATAGTTAAAAATCAAATAAAACCAAACTTTTGCTAAGAAAAATTCAAACTCTGGACCTCTATCAAATTATTCTAAATTTTAATTTAATTATAGATATTTTATTTTATTTTTTTAAAATAAATTCGAGTCTTAAAATTTTTGGGATGTTACATAAAAACTCAAAACAGCCTCATTAGGACCTAAGGAAACCAAAGTTTACAAGAACAAGGCCTATGGGATTAAATCAAGAATTTTTGTCCTCCAAAATTTTAAGAAAACCAAGAGGGAAAGGAAAGGATTGAAATAGGGAGCTTACTTGATGCGTAGCTGAGCTCACAACCACCGCAAAGTCTAACCTCTCCCAATATCTATCCAACATTTAGAATGTTTAACTCAATCACCACACACTCAGAAAAACCAAACTGTATTAAAACTTTTGTTTGAAAAGCTTGGGATCCGAGACTTGTATTTGAAAATCATCAAAAGCATTTGAATTCTAAATCATAATAATTATTGCACAGCGAAAGACAAACGATTGCATTCACCACATCCAATGCATGCATTTAAATCAAAGAAACAAAGTCTGAACAAGAGGGTGCACCGCGGCATGCACCACATGCATTACAGCCTGTGGCATAGAGCCACGAGCTCCCATCCTTATGTCATGTGCCACAACATAACACACCATGTGCTGCGACGCACATGACAGCAATTTTTGCTATCACGTGATAGTTCATAGGGTAAACTTCTGGCGTGCGTCGTTTCCACATACAATGTTCGATCGAAGTGATTCAAGCACCTATACGAAGCTTATTTTATAAGCTAACTAATGAGATAGGTTTGAACATGATCCAATAGTTTTATCAAATTTTAGACACTTGGGTGCAAAATGCTACTTTTATTAAAATTTTCACACACCCAGTGCTCAAATCACACCTTTTGTCCCATTAAAATGTTCTAGGCCTTGAACTAAATCCAAAAGAACCTAACACACCTGATTGACCACAATTTATATCATACACTAGTACAAAAATGACTTTTTACAGTGGTTAAAAATGACTTTTTACAGCGGTTAAAGAGACGTGTTGTTCCAGGGGATGTAGAAAGTCCCTCTTTTTACATCGGTTATAAACCCGATGTAAAAATTAAGTTTTTTATATCGGTTATAGAGCCGATGTTGAAAATTATATACAAGAAAATTAAAAAAAATTTACTTAACTTTTTACACCGGTTCAGATTCCAACCGGTGTAAAAAGTGTACTTTTTACACCGGTTATTATACAACCGTTGTAGAATATAATATTTTTTACACCGGTTATTGTAATAACCGGTGTAAATAACCGGTGTAAAAAATATTATATTCTACAATGGTTGTGGTAATAACCGATGTAAAAAGTATTTTATTTTTTTATACTGTATTTATTTTATTGATTTTACCCATTCCTGTGCATAGAAATTGCCAAATCAGACAGCCCAATTAATTTACAATTGTTTATCGAGTATCTATCAACTATACAAAGCTATTTAACTATTAAAAAAACTAACAATTGTCTAAATTGTCAAAATTGCCATTCATGTGCATAAAAATTGCCAAATCAGACAGCTCAATTCATTTACAATTGTTTATCAAGTATTTATCAACTATACAAAACTATTTAACTATTAGGAAAACTAATAATTATCTAAATTGTGTCAACTATCAAAATTAAAACATGTCTAAAAGTAACAAAAAACCTCACAAGTTCTCCACAAAATAGGTTGCCCAACGTATGCGGATATCTTCAATTTCAGCTTCAGAAAATGCATCCGAATTATCGAACATCTAAAATTTGATTCATAAAGTAGGCATATTAATCAATCTCAAATAACATAATAAAATAAAATTTTTTTTTTAAAAATATATATATATATATATATATATTTACCTCTTTTGTAAATTCGGTCATGCCTAATGTGATAATATTGAGCATGTGCCTCATGACATATAGACCGCACAAGTTCGTCCTTACCAGTTGTCTATGACTCTATATAAGAACAAATCATAAAAAATTAGTAAGAAATCTTAATAATTGAACATATTAATAAAGTATAGCATCACCTTTGGCTCAATCCATGTGGGTCCTTTAGCTCATGTCCATGCTTTTGTAAGACTACAATTTGATATGCTCTCATTGCCCTATGATCAAGATCACCAAGTTAGTAAAAATATTCAAAAAAAATTAAATTAAATAGTTTAGTAAAAGTATTCTTACAAGTCTATCGTCTTCTTCATTTCTTTCCCAAGTTTGTAATGGAGGGAGCATAAAAAGACGACAGTGTTGCTCTTCATTGAAAGAACAAATAACTGCCAATGGTCCCTGCTAAATATGATACAAGTTAAAGTAAATCCATATTAAAAAACTATTAATTATAAATTGATCCTTACGAGTGCACATATGGAGCCATAAAAACGTCCTTTTTGACTTCACATATTCTCTATTGGAGGTACGCGGCCCTTAACTCTGGAGTATTACCTTTCTCTGTCATGTGATGAGGGCAAAGGAATCCAAACTTATCACCTTTGCCCGATGTAATGCACAAATGATGAAGATACCTAAAACAATGCAATTATATTAGTTTACTAAACTTGATGATTAAGTTTACTTACAATAATGCAATTATATTAAAGAAAAATATACTTACATCATAAATAGTTCAATGTGTGGTGTGGTAAGCTGATTATTCGACAGAAGTCGAACCAAATCTTCCCGTTCAATTGTCACTATCATGTCTTTCTTGCCCACAACCTCCGGATCCATTTCTAAACCTTGAATTCGAATGATAAATCATACGCCATTAAGATCATTCGCTGATGCGGAGTCAACGAGGGTTGTGGAAGCTTTAGGAGATTCGGCAAGGAAAGCTTATACATAATAAAAAGACAAGAAATAGTTAATAAAAAACATATATTAGGAAGTTGCTACATAATAAAAATTCATGAAATTTCGTACCACAGCTTGAACCAGATTCACAAGTCTCTTGGGCCACAGGATAAAATTGCCAACAGCTTCAACCACAGTCTTCACCTCATTAGTTTTAAACCAAATAAATGATCACATACAACAACCTGAGGCTTTATGAAGCCACTAACAGTACTTCCAACAACAATCAATATCATTAAAAACTAAATTTAAGAAAATTAGAGGAAAGAATAAATTCAAAAAAAAAATTGACAGAGTCTTCCCTAAATATTGGACTTCCTAAAAGTTTTAGAAAATTTTACACGAGAAAATTAACAATTTTAAACCAAATAAATGATCACATGCAACAACCTGAGGCCTTATGAAGCCACTAACAGTACTCCCAGCAACAATCAATATCATTAAAAACTAAATTTAAACATTATAAAATTTAAAAATTTATATTCAACACATACCTGGGTGGCAGCAGCTGCAGCAACGACTCAACACTGAGAGGGAGGGAGAAGGAGTAATGGAGGGGGGCAAGAGGGAGGGAGAAGGGGAGGGGGACGGCCGAGGAAGGGGGAGGGGGCGGCGAGACGAGGGGGAGGGGGAGGGGGGCGGCGGGACGAGGGGGAGAGGGAGGGGGTTGGGTGGACCTAGTGGGAGGGGGTTGGGCAGCGAGGGAAGGAAGGGGAGGGGGCGGCGGGACGAGGGGGAGGGGGCTGGACGAACTGAGGGGGAGGGGGAGTAGGCGGCGAGGGGAGGAGCTGGAGGGGGAGGCGGGACGAGGGGAAGGGGCTCCGGCGAGGGAGAAGACGAGGGGGAGGGGGAGTGGGCGGACAAAGGGGAGACGAGAGGGAGGGCGCGAGAAGGAGGAGAGGGAACTGATGAATGGAGGAAGGAAGAGAGGATTTTAAAAAATACCTTTTACACCGGGTGCCTAGACACTCGGTGTAAAAAGATAACTATTTACACCGGGTGTCCCAGAACCCGATGTAAAAAGTTCTCTTTTTACAACAGGTGGGTGTAAAAAGTTATCTTTTTACACCGGGTGTCGAGGCATCCGATGTAAAAAGTATCACATAATTCAACATAATTACAAAAATGCCACCGCCTTTATTTTTTACATTGTTTGCCTTCCAACCAATGTAAAAAGTACCCCATAAATTTTATATTTTGTACTAGTGATATATACATATAAATCAAGACATGGCTACTCAACAGACCAAATTCACATTAGATAACTTTTCACAACTTTTCTCAATACACTAATTTGACCACATTCTCCATAAATTTCACCACTAATCTACTTGTTACCACATTTACAATTCATTCACAAAACCACATATTCATAAATATGGACTAAGATTTACAAAACCACCATCATTCAACAATTCACAACTATACACATGCATGCAAATCCTATAGCAACTTCTTATACACATGATACAAAAGAAAAGTTCATTACACAAACTTCACGTTTACATGGCTTTCGCAACTTTAAGCTAGCCTAGTATCTTTCTCTTTACTCAGCTCACTATTGTGTCTTGCAAAAATGTAACCATGGGGGCTGAGGTAAATATCTCAGTAACAGAATAACTCACTACTACTGATTATCACATACAACCATAAGCAAGTATTGCATAATATATAGGTAAACATAGTCTATAATATAGTTTTCACTTCAAATCACATCATCATAGTATTTCACCACTTTCACAAACTATATTCACCATAATTCACCACTTATAGTGATAGTATGATCACTATTAACTAAACCTTCAAATCACCCTAACTCAAAACTATATGCTCACCTTAGACTAAGATACATACTCATTAGCCTTGAGCTCACCTTTAATAATAGAATCACTTGGCCAAAGGATTTCTAATTCACTTCAACATCGCATCATAAATGTTAAGGGGCCTAAATCTCCAATACCGTAACTCAATAAGCACTAAAGAGATAATCTCGAACATCGTATCTTGAAAGGCACTAAGGAGATACAATTCTCCAATACTACACCTCGTCAAGTACTAGGGATAATAATGCCATATGGTCTTTCACTACTCCTCTCCCACACCTATGATCATGTTTTCGTATAGTCACATTTCCATACGTATATAAAACTATATATATATATAATACATATATTTATAAAACATGTAATTCATAAAAATCAATTCTTTAGAAATCAATTTCATGCAGTAATGCTTATTTAGCAAACATTCTTATTCTAAAACATTTTCATGCATTAATACTCATACTTTCAAATAGTTATAACAGATAATTGAATAAAGAAAGTTATTCAGTTACTTTAACCATTCTGTCATAACAAAGGTTACCCTTGGATTTTTCACATGCCTATAGTCACCATACTAGCTCTCTACCTTAAGTCACATGTATAATATGCCAATCTCCATACAATTGGCATAATTTTTCAATTAACTATTTTGACCAAAGTACTAAACTATTGCTTAAAGCCATTTTTAGCCCTTCATTCACTTCCACTAAATCACACTAGGCCCATCACCACTCATTTCCACTTTGTATCACTTCTACAAGTTCCAATTCATTTCCTTCTTCATTCCACCTATGTTTCCTCTAGGTTTAGGGAAAAATTAAGCTTACAGTTTTAAAGATTTACCGTTTAAACCCAAATCAGTCATAAAACCCTATTTGGAACTTTGAGAATCTTTTTATTATAGAGGGATAAAAAACAAACCCCTTTAACTTTCCTAATTTTATTTCTCCATAAACTATTTTAAGAGAAATTACAAGAGAATAGAAGCTTACGATGGTATAAAGCTTACCCAATAAGACACCGATTAAAATTCCTTCCTTGGCTTTAGAAATTCAAGCCCTATGCATAACCTCTTTTCCTTCTCCTTTTCATGTTTTCCTTAGTTTCCCTTCTATTTTCTTAAGTTCTCTTTAAACTTATTAACCAAGTTTTTAATCCATGTGCCATGTCATGTAATGCCCTCACTGACATTACCGTGCACTCTACTACAATCTTACCAATCAAATTAAAATCATTTACTTTGAAAATATTGAAAGCCATGGGATCCCAATAAAAACTTTCAGAAATCATTTTATAACTTACTCAAGAAAAAATCTATGTACACACAGCGGAAGCAATAAACCTATGCGCATCAAGGATTTAGAAAACACATGCATCACTGAAAAACAAAGTGAAATTTAGCACCGTGTGCCACGACTCGTACCATATGTGCGACGGCATATGGTATCGAGGCCACAGTCGCTCACTCTATGTCGCTCTACGGCATGCGAGTACATACGCCATGGCGCAAACACCTGAATTTGCTATCAAATGGCAGTTTCTAATATGAAATTTAGATGCCTGCCATTTCCATATATGATATTTGATTGGGATAGTTCAAGTGCCTACATGAAGCTTGTTTTGAAATCTAACTAATGACACCAGTTTCATCTCAATCAGATATCTCTATCAAAAATTGGACACCCAAGTGCATTTTGATCAGTTTCTGCTAAAAATTTGCCACTCAAGTATCTCAATTCAAAACCAAGTGTCATTAGCCACTTTTTGGGCCTTGCCCAAGTCCAAATGAATAATACACACCTAATTGACAATACACACACACAGTATAACACACATACACAAATTTGGCCTATAAATTACCCATTTCACCATTTAGGCCAAATTCACATTTCCATTTCTTTGATCTCATATATGGCTAAATTACTACATATAATCTCCACCCATCTCCTATTCACACATAATTACATCCATCTGCTAGCCCATCCAAACATTTCATCAATCACATATATATACAAGGGCAAGGGAGCTCAAAATCACAAAACATACCACAATTATATCTGTATGCACACGTATAAATCCTATGACAACTTATACATATACAAGAATAATAACAACCAAATTCATTACACCAAAACCTTACAAAGGCTTAGTGAAAGATCTCAACTCAGCCAATGTCTTTCCCCTTCAAGTCACTAGCACCCGAGCCTAAAAAATGTAAATAACCATGGGTGAGATAAAAATCTCAATAATCAATATAGTTCATTAAATGCTTATTTACACAAATAAATATATCAAAGTAATAAAATAAAGTAATATCACACACACACACACACATCAAAATATGAAACAATTCCTCCTTTTCAAAACAGTTCCACACCAATATACACTAGCATGATCATTTAGCCACTGAACCTCCAATGCCTTCTAACATGAAACCATAAGCTGTCTTGGATTAACTACTTATTAACCCGAGCACACTTTCGATAGAAGAAACACCCGGCCAAAGATAATCTAACCCACCTATGGACTATGGTTTTTTCTTATTCACACACTTATGATAAAGGCTTCGTTAACTCCTAACTGCACCCTATCAGGCATTAGGGAGTTGCCAAATTTCTCGAATGTCTCATAGTGACAGTCCCATAATATGCTGTACCGGATTATCTATGGTAACAACCAGTATAATGCTGCACCGGATGTCCCATAGTGTCAGCCGACCATATGGATTTTTCACTCACATATCTCCACACACACACATCCCCACATATCTGGGGGAACTCCTAACCTCTATGATCATGCTCTTTCATAATTTTTACTATTTTCTTTCATATTACCACAACGTGTAATGTCATAACACACACACACACATATCATTTGAAATCAATTAACCTTACAAATCTCATTTCACAAACCATTGTTCATGTTAAAAACATTTCAATAACAAATCATGCACAAAACTCTTAAAACAACAAATTCATCAATTTGTATTTACTTTTACATAGTTATAATAGTTAATAAGCACAATAAACTATATAATTACTTCAACCTTTCTGTTC